GTGGATCCTCAAAGCCTTTAGGTTGTGCCACATAAACTTCCTCTTGTAGCAGTCCATTGAGAAATGCACTCTTGACATCCATCTGGTACAGCTTGATTCTCAGCTTGCATGCAATTTCAAATAGAAGTCTGATTGACTCAAGGCGAGCTACTGGAGCAAATGTCTCATCAAAATCCACTCCCTCAATCTGCGAATAACTTTGACCAACCAGCCTGGACTTGTTCCTAATCGGATTCCCATTTTCATCAGTCTTGATCTTGTATATCCACTTGGTTCCAACCACATTGACACCATATGGTCTAGGAAATAGATCCCACACTTGCAGTCTCACAAACTGCTCCATTTCCTCGTGCATTGAGGCTGTCCAAAAACTCATCATCTAAAGCTTCTTGCATGTTTTTAGGTTCGGTTTGTGAGATAAAGCAATCTTCTTTAGCCATTTCTGCCATGAGACATGCGAGTTTGACCATTTTCTTGAAGTCGATTTGCTTTTTCTTTGTGATCCTTGGGTCCAGCAACCCTCCAATGACATCATCTGAAGAGTGGTTCTTGTGCACCTTGACTGGCTCTTGTGATGCTCTTTCTTGTGAATCAGCTTCTTCAGTTGTATCAATCACCCGGTTTTCATCCTCACTGTTGAGTTGTGGAACACACACACTTCGCTGCGTAACACCATCTTGATGGAAACCAACTCTGTCATCAAAAACTACATTCACCTTCTCATCGATTGTCTTGGTCCTTGAGTTATAAACCCGATACGCTGAGCTGTTCGTTGAGTAACCAAGAAACATTCAAACATCACTCTTGGAGTCAAACTTTCCCAGATGATCTTTGTCGTTTAGAATGTAGCAAAGACAACCGAATACATGACAAAATCCAAGGTTGGTGTTTTTCCTCGGAGTATCTCATAAGGTGTTGTTTTAGTCTTAGGCTTCACGTACACTCTGTTGATGATGTATCATGCCATGTTAATGGCTTCTGCCCAGAACTTTGATGGAACATGATTCCCGGCTAGCATGGCTCTTGCCATCTCTTGAAGTGTTTGATTCTTGCGTTCCACGACTCCATTTTGTTGTGGTGTTCGTGGTGAAGCATACTGATGTTGAATGCCTTAATCATGACAAAACATGTCAAACTGTTCATTCTGAAATTCCCCTCCATGATCACTTCTAATCTTGATGATTCCACCTCTTTCTTGTTTGAGTTGAAGTGTTAGGATCCTGAAACTCACGATTGCATCCGAACCTCACCCATGTAAACCTGGAAAAATCATCAACTAACAAAAAAATATATCGCTTTTCAGCAATACTTTCAGGTGAGATAGGTCCCATGAGATCCATATGAATCAGTTCTAGAATAGATTTAGAGTGAATTTGAGATACCTGTTTGTGTTGAACTTTGACTTGTTTACCTTGACAGCAAGCACCACATACTGTGTCAGAATGATCTTCAAGGTTGGGAACACCTCGAACTACTTCTGCTTGCACAAGTCTTGAGAGGCCATTGGTGTTCATGTGACCAAGTTTCTTGTGCCATAAGTCGATTTGCGAGTCCCTTACTGACAGGCATTTGCTCGGTGGTTTCCAAAAATAACAATTGTTATTTGATCGAAATCCACACATAACAAGATTTCCTTGAGGATCAACTGCTTGACACTCTCTGTTGTTGAAGATGACTTGCAGACCCTCATCACACAGCTGACTAATGCTTATGAGATTCGATTTAAGTCCTTCTACAAAGTAGACGTTTCTAAGTCTTGGAAGGTCAGTTCTTTCCACATGACCAACTCCACGGATTCTACCTTCTCCACCATCACCAAATACTACTCTTTCTTCTTTGACAGGCTCCATAACTGTCAAGAACTACTCATTTCCTGTCATATGTCTTGAGCAGCAACTATCAAAGTACCACGGTATCTCAACAACAGTGTGTTCTTTTGTGGAGGTGAAAGTAACCTTGGCGAGACTTGGAACTGCAACAATATCCTCTTCAAAATACTCCTCAATTACCACCATATTGCACACAATTTCTTTTCCTGGTCTCTGGATATAGACCTCTGTCTCACTCAATTTAGCAGGTGTTGGTGTTCTGTTTTTGAAGTAAGGATACAGATCTGTTTTGGCTATCAACACATGTCCAATCCGGCTTGGTTCAATGTAGAATTTGTGGAGTGACCATGCTCGTTGGTATTGAGCTTTTAGAAAGTAGCAGTAGGCAACCCTATGTCCTTGTTTACCACAAAAGTGACATCCATTGTGCATGTATGGTACCCGATTTCTCACGGTTGTCTCAACAGTTTTCTGGGGGTACAACTCCGTTCTCTAACTCAGTACGTGTTTCCGGTGCTCCACTTCTAACAAACCTGGCATCCATTACATCTTTGCTACTTGAGCTTCGATATCCTTGATAGCCTAAACCAGAGGCAATCTTTGGGTTTTGTCCAAGTGAGAGGATATGGTCCAAAGTATCTGACCCATTGTTGAGCATCCTCATCTTCTTGTAGTTGTCGCCCAGTTCTCTTTGCAATAACCAACTGTTCTCAAGCTCCTCATTCAGTAGCACCATGGCTTGATCATACTTGCTCTCCAAATTCTTCAAAGAATGAGCCTGATCAGTAACGGTTCTTTAAAGCAACTGTATATCAAGACTCTTCTCACTTTCCGAGGTACCAGCTGCAGTCTTTCCTTAGGTATGTCGAGTTCAATAATACTGACTTGTTCCTTGAGCATTGCTTTGTCTTTGATCAACTGCAAATTTTCAAGACTTAGCTCTGTAAACTTGTCGAAGAGGCTCTTGAACTCTGACTTTAGATCCAAGGTTTTCTTCTCGTCTTCATTATCTGAATCTGAGTCTGAACTTGAAGATATATCTTGAGTGTCATCTTGTTCTACATGAGCAACAAAATTATGCATCAGTTCTTCATCATCACTCTCACTTTCTGATTCGGTATCACTAAATGACAGAAGAGCTTTGTCTTTCTTTAGATTGTTAGGACACTCACTCCTTGTATGTCCATAACCTTTACACTCAATACACTTAAGCTCTTTTCTCTTGGCTAGAGGACACTCGCTCCGAAAGTGACCAAAACCTTCACAGTCATGACATTTTAAGTCTTTCTTGCGATTTTCTCTTCCAGATTCACTTATGTTTTGTTGTCCAGATGAGCGATCTCCTTCTCTACCTTGAAACCGGTTGTTGTTACGGTAGTTTCCCTTTTCAACTCTTTTGATCATCTTGTTGAAATTCTTAGCCATAAGACTCATGTTATCTTCAATGCGCTTCACTCTATCATCTTCTTTGGTTTCTGCTGTGAAAGCAATTCATTTATGTCCCTTAGTTGTCTCTTCACTCCGTTCCAAATCATGCACCTTCAGAATTCCAGCCAACTGATCAAACTTCATCTCATCAGTATTCACAGCAATCTTAAGAACCGCCTTGTATGCTTCAAATCTAGGAGGAATACATCGCAATACTTTCTTCACAAGTTTCTTCTCATTATACTTCTTGCCAAGGACAGAAGCTTCATTAGCTATGGAGCTGATCTTGGAAATGAAACTTCCTATCGATTCATCATCCTCCATTCTCAGGTTCTCAAATCTTGAGGCGAGATGATCGATTCTGGTCATTCTCACACTTGTGTTTCCCTCAAAGTGATTGATAAGGGTATCCCATGCTTCTTTAGCAGATTCACATCCTTGAATGATCTTAAACTGATCAAGATCAACAGCAGAAAAGATGGTAGTGAGCGCCTTCGAGTTGAATTTTGAAGCGACTTTATCAGAGTCAGTCCATCTCTCCTTTGGCATGGGTGCTATAGACTTGTCTTCCATTACCATAGTGGGTGCAGTCCATCCTTGTTCAACAGCAGTCCAAGCATCCTCATCAATAGTCCGTATGATGTGCCGCATCCTTGCCTTCCAGTGTCCAAAGTTACCTTCGTCGAGCATGATTGGCTTTTGCAAAGCCACGAGTTCTTTCATGGTCTCCATGACTGCCGCAAGATCTCAACCTGTGAGTAGACGTACGAGTCTACAGAGGTGATCTGCTCTGATACCAAATGAAAATTTGTATGGATACCACAATAGAACAACTTGAGCAAATCCAAGAAAAACTAACTTGCTTTATTAAGAATCACTTAAACAATCTCCCTAGATTTGTTTAATTCGATTTACTCAACGTCACAGCTTGACTTGAGATGGACCAGTTCTTAATCTACCCAATGCACAGTGGTCGAGACAGACCTCATTACTTGCTTACACAGAATCGCAGCTTAGAACACTGAAGCTCGATAATACAAAAATCCCGAAAGCCGTAATCTAGCTAATGAACTCTATCACCAATATATACTAAAGCATATCCTATTGTGATAAGTAAAGATCCTCCCAATATCTTCTCTTTTGTTGTCTAACAAACCTCCTAGAATCTTGGGTCATTATTTTCTAAACGGCTTTCTTGTATTTCGCTCCATGTGTAACACACTCTCTACTTTGTGTGACACATCAACCTTACGCTCAAACAATCTTGAGCTGTCTTATGTGTAACACAACCTCCTATCTGTGTGACACGCCAACCATCATGCTCAGAATCTTGAGCTTACAAATTTTAGGGTTGAATATGTCTGGTTTCTGGATCATGTTATAGGATTTTGTTCTAGATTCGAATTACAGATTTAGCATTTTTAATCGGGTCGTTTGGGTTAAATTCGGTTAACCGAGACAAACATATACATACAGTGTATATAGAAAGCAAAATGGGGTCTATAAAAAGTAAAGTGGGGTCAACACTCAATGCATTATGATGACATCATCACATTGATAAGACACCCAAAAAGAACTTGTGTACTCTCTACGTTTCCTCTCGTCTCCCTCCCTTGTATAAAGTATAAACTATAAACCATTCCTTTCTCATCTCCTCTGCTTACTGTTCTCGAATCTAATTTCAGCTTCCAAAAAAAACCTAAACATTTTACCTTATTAACACACCCCCTTGGGTTTCTGAAAATGTCTGAAGAATTCGACGAATCTGAGATAATTTTCTCCGACAATTTCTTCCCAAGTCGCAGGCGTGATGAAGTGAACGAGAAAGAGAATCTTCCAGTTGGTTTCAGAGAAAACTCGAGACGTAGACGGAGCAAAACGACGTTGTTGCCATCACCTCACCGGATATACCTGGTGATGTGATGCGGAGGTACTCGGAGGATGATGAAGAATATTCCGATGACGACGGAGTAAGGGAAATGATTCCGCCGCACCTGATCGTCGGATGGAGGATGGAAGGTGGTCAAATGGCGTTTTCCGTTTGTACAGGTAACGGAAGAACTCTCAAAGGACGAGATCTGAGCCGGGTTCGTAATTCGGTTCTGAAGTTAACCGGTTTTTTGGAGGCTTAATTTCGAGGTCCGCTTCTCCGATTTATCAATTCTTCCGTCTTCCAATTTTATTCTCTTTAGCGGAAGAAATCAGCTGTCTTATTGTTCTTTTTTAGTTTTATTTGAAGTTCAAAAGGAAAGTGTTAAAAACATTTATTTCCTTGTTTATTTATATTCTTAATTTTGGTTGTTCTCAGATGTAATAGAGATAAACAGAAGAAAATCGTTTCAGATTAATGTTCGTTTTTATATCAGTTTCAAACTACTCATGATTAGAATAATTTAATTGTCCTCTGTAAAGACTGATTATCCAATGTTCATCAACTATGCGTTTATGCGTATGAAATTGGATCTATTGTATAATGAATAAAAATTTTGTTGTAGAGCTCTCTGTAGAAATTGGAATATATTTTTGTTTCACCAATCGCGATAAGGAAAAAAGACAAATAAATTTTAAATCCTACATAGAGTTTTAAAAAAAAAAAATTATTAAAACTATTAAACATCCCATAATGAAGGTTTTATTATCAATGATTTAAAAATTTTGTTATAAAAAAGATACAAATGATCAAAAACCTTTATGAACATAAAACATCATTTAATAGATATTTATATTAAAAATATAATATATATATATATATGTTAGTATCATCTATATTTAATTATATATCACATAAAATAAAAAATAAAAAATATTTGGATTAATAAAATTTGTTTATGAGTCTGCACCAATTTAATTATAAATATAATAATTACAGAATTTGTAATTTATTTAATATATATTTATTATATTTTATAATATGTAAAAATATATAATATTAAAATAATTATATATAATGTTCATCCCGCGCAAAGCGCGGATCTTAATCGAGTTCTTATTTATTCTTTAAAAATTATATTATTCATAAGAAATATTTGCTGTATATGCTTCCGTGTCATTCTCTAAATTTTAAAGAATTAAAGATCAGAATCATTCCTTATCAAAACTGATATGGAACAAAAGTAATAAATATTTTTTCATTCCTTTTATTTTGTTCCTGTTCATTCTTTTCCCACTCATTTCTATTCTTATTTCAATGGTCATCACTTAGAGCCGTAGTAGTAACGTAAGAAATTCATTTTTCTTTTATATCACTAAGAAAATTACTACATTTTGATTAAATCCCATTTCAAGTTTGAAAGTGAGAGAACGTTAATCACCTCAAACACAAAAATGTGCATCTTGTTACAGTGAAAGATAGAAACAGAAGCAACTAAAGATAATATATTTCTCCTATAAGAGCATCTCCAACCCCACTCCATAGTTTACTGCAAAATGGAGTGGGAAATGGAGTGATGAAGAAACAAAAAAGTGATTACTCCAAATATGGAGTAATGAGATTTTTGTTTCTTCATTACTCTATTTTCCACTCCATTTTGCAGTAAAATATAAAATATGCAGTGGGGTTGGAGATGCTCTAAGACTTTCCTTTTGAGTCTTTTTTTTCTTTACCGGGAAGCTGACAAGGTGAGAATCTCATACAGTATAGCGAAGTTTAGCATTACGATCAAGAGTCTTTGCATCCTCCTGAAAAGAAGATTGGACAAGTCACTAATAGCACAAACCAATGTAGTTTCAAAATAACATTGCAAAGATGTTGAAGAATAACTATATGGAATATGAATCCAATTGTCTCATTGCAACCAAGAAGTTCCTTCCACTGTTTTCCAATGCTTAGCTGCATGTATCAACAACAAAAGTAAAGCCAATTATGTGTGTTTCCTATAAGGAAACAAGGATAAGATTATCTTATCGTGTAGTGTCTCCCTATTAGCGTTTGGTTAAGCACTTAGGCAACTCAGGAACTATCTACATGTGTTTCCTCAAGAAAAAAACAAGCTTAAGTGTAGCCTAAGGGAAAACATCAACCTGAGCTTCCTCATTAGCAGCGTTCTTTGTTCATATAGAGATCTTATCCCCTCTGGTTCTGAAATTCAACTGCCCCGCAAATCTCATCTCCATGCTCAAATTGCTCACCAACTAACGCAAGCAGATAAAACAAGTAGCAGAGCTAGACAAATCACAAAATGCAACATTGCTTGCCTAAGGTGAACTCCTAAAAAATTTACGATACCGTGTTAAGCCAATTGAATTCCAGTGTAGTCTGAGCCTTAGGGAACATCATTGTCCACTTTCCTCCATTAGCAGAAACAGGATCTTCCAACTTGGGTTCGATTTCATGTTTGAAGCAGTAGAGATCCGACCCATGAACCCACTTGGTTGGAGGATGCATGTTATTGTAAAGACTGCATCAAGTAAGTAGTTAAAACAAGCACCTCTTTAAACTTTTCCATGGCACAAAAACAAGATTCCTTAAGATACAAGAAACCTAAAAGAACCTAGAAACAATCACGAGTATTCAATATCTATGACTACCGATACACTATAACCATTCTTCTAGGACTTGTTTCAACCCTACGAGAACGTAAATATCACCTCCAGAACTCCTCCATGGTAGCGAACGTGTACAAGGTTCTCAAAGAGCTTCCCCATGTGGCTTGATTCGATTTCGAGGAAGCATTATCGAACCAGAAGGTCCAAGAACTCTAGAAGGCGTGCGAACGTTGGATTACGTTGGTTGATTTTGATTTCTTCCACACATAGTTATTTCCACCGTACGTGATCTTTTTCTCCTTCGACGGAACTTCACCGCCGCAGATAGCCTTAATCGCCGGCAAATGCTTCTCGATACGGATAAGATTCGTGGTGTTAGGATCGAGATTCTCCTCCTCCGCCATGATCGCTGATACTGAAGAAGCCTCAACCGCCATTTTTCTCTCTCGCTCGCTCGACGCTCGAATCAGTTACTTTTCCGTTGGGTTCGTCTTCTGTTGTAGATGGAAGATGGAGGAGAGAGAAGTTTTTTTGTACAAAAAAAAACCAGTGTTAGCCTATTAAAGACCTATACTGAGTTGAACTAAATTGTGCGGGGATATTTATTTAACTCTTTTTAGTTACAAATAAAGAGAGAGACCTTTTATTGCTTAGTGAAATAAAACTTGGTTATTGTGATTTTTTTTTTTACTTTTTGGGTCAATTCTCTCAAATAAATAAAATGAGCCAAATAACTCTTTTTTATTTTTAAATTTTTAATATTTTATTTGTATGTTTTAAATGTGAAATCCTAAATTCAAAATTCTTCATCTTACTTATAAATCTTGAGTTTAGATTAGTTAATCCAAAAATATAAATGCACATTTATCTTTTTAAAAAAAATTATTTTGGTTGTTTTTTTCCTTGAAAATATTTTTGTGAAAATAAATTAGAAATGATTATTCGAGGGAATCTCTCTTTTTGTTTTTCCTCTCTATGGAAATGTTTGTTAATATTAATGGGGATGTTGAAAATAATACTAGAGTGAGTCAAAAAATCAAATTAATTAAAAAAGTGTTGTGAAATAAAGAAGAAGGTTGTAACTCTGTATATCTTATTCATCACGTGCACATACATATATATACATACAAGAGAATAAGCATATTCCTTAGGAGATAAGGATTACAACAATAAAGGGGATGATTATCCTAATCCTATAATGATTAGGATAACTACAACATATGGATAAACACAAGGGAGGATAGTGACTGAT